CGGCCACTGGCCGGTGTATATGCCGGTGTTCCAGAGTTTGGGTAAAAATCTGGTCCATGCACCCTAATCCAGCTTTGTCTGAAACCTTTCTGGTTTTCTCAAGTTTGCTCTTCTCGAGCCGTAGTTTGGCGTGGTATAGTGATGGAGCATGGTCCTAACGTTGTCGATTAATGAGGTATCTGAATATTTTGGAGACTGATTACTTTCGTACGCAGTTTCCTCAGGGCGTTAGATTTTATGTTATATTGACTTCGTTCATTGTATCATTGTGTTAGGAATGCCCTATTTTTAATATTTCAGAACTCTTATTGCAACTGGTTTTCTTAGGTTTTTTTCTCGTGAGTCACGTTTTATATAATCAGCTGGCCTTGAGATTGTCTTCAGCCTCTTTAAATGTACCAATTTCTCCTTGTTTTTTAGGGATCTGTCCTTACTTATAAACGTTCTTAGTTCGAAACACTATGAAGTCAATTGATAACCAGTCTTTCGATTTTCCTCCGCGAACCACTCGATTTGAATCGTCTCAACCCTTGACTCTTCAAAAGACACTTCTACGACACACTGGCAAGTGAAGCAGAACAGGCTGCAGGTAGAGGAGACCTGACAATACTATATCAAATCACCAAAATACTATCTGGAAGGGAAGAGATCAACTCAGATGAAACCAATGAAAGATAATGAAGGAAACCTAGTTACCAAAGAGGAGAAACAAACGAAACGATGGGATGAAAACTTCGAAGAGCTCTTGAATCGACCGCCATCACCACACGCAACTCATCCAGAGATACCACCAGCAGCCCAGCCATAGAACTACCAGTGAACACAAGCCCTCCGACAAAAGCAGAAGTGAAGTCCTGAACGCCACAAAGTTTCTGAAGGCAGGGAAAGCAGCAGGACCAGATGGAATTCCCCCAGAAGCACTGGAAACAGATACAGAGACAACAGCGGACATGCTCACACCATCATTGCAGCAGGTTTGGAAGGAATGAAAGGTACCTGCTGATTGGGAGAAGGGCTACCTTGCCAAGCTCCTAAACAAGGGAGACCTAAGTATTTGCAAGAACAAGAACTGGCGTGGAATCATGCTACACCCCTGTCCACTCCAAGCAAAATATTAGGCCGCATCATCCTGGAGAGACTAAAAGATGTGCTGGATTAAAAATTACAACCAGAACAGGCTGGCTGGATTCAGGAAGTACAAATCATATCTGGATCAAATTGCAACGCTACGCTACGGCATCATCATAGAACAGAGTATAGAATGGCAGTCAACTCAACTCTACCTCAAATTTATCGACTTTGAAAAAGCCTTCGACAGTGTCGACCGACAAGTAATTTGGCAGGCAGCTGCTTCAACACTACGGCTCTAGTGCCACAAACCTTTATCAACCTCATTCAACAGCTGGCTACATGACGACGCCACATACCAGCCAAGTAATTCGCAATGGGAAGCTCAATGATGCCTTCGAAGTGAAGACAGGAAGGAGTAAGACAAGGCCGCCACCTACTATCACGCATGATCTTCCTGATTGTGGTCGACTGGATCATGTAGGAAACTGTGAGGAGCGAGAAGAGGGGGATACGCTGGCTGGACCGATGAAAAGACCTTAGGAGATTTGGATTTCGTCGACGATGATTTGTGTCTAATATTGCACAAACTTGAAGATCTACAGGCGAAAACTAACAAGTTGACAGAAGAGGCAGGGCAGCGAAACAGGACTTTACGTGAACGTAGAGAAGATGGAGGTGATGAGCATACCCAACGAACAATGGCATGAACAAAAAGCACTAATCACTATTAACGGGAGGAACCTAAAGGAAGTGGTCTCTTTCACCTACCCGCCTACTTAGGCAACATCGTTTCAACTACAGGTGGCACAGGCACACATGAGGATGTCAAAGCCAGCATCGGAAAGACAGCAAGACAGGCTTTTATTAATCTGAAATCACTGTGGAGGTTTACTCCACTCAACTCAGCATAAAGAACAAGATCCGGATTTTCAACACCAACGTCAAGTCAGTGCTTCTATATGGTTCAGAAACTTGGCGTGTCACGAAAAGCATTTCCAGCAAACTACAGACATTCATCAACAGCTGCCAGCTATGCTTGATACTGAAGATCAGATGGCCAGAAAGAATAAGCAACAGGGAACTCTGGGAACGAACTAACCAAGAACTCATCACCCAACAAATATGCAGAAGAAAGTGGACATGGGTTAGAATGGTCACACACTGAGAAGACAAATTGGGGATATCACACGCCAGGCCAGTTGCTAGAGTGGAATGCAAAGGGGAAACAACGAGTTGGGCGTCCGAGGGTGACATGGAGATCATGTGAGGAAGAAATGAAAGCTTCTGGGCAGTGGTGGAGTGAGGTTGAAAAGACTCCATAAAAGACAGTGCAATGGAGATGTGCTACTGAAGCAAAATCGCTTGTACCCCATGGCATACCGTTGTCGACGATATGATTTACGCGAAGTACACAATACTGTCAAACTTCTAAAAACGTCGTGTGTGACCGACCACAAGCATCAGTCTCTTGGATTTTACAGTCATGCACCGACCTCACTTCCTTTTCAAGTGCCTCAAGAAAAAATAACCTTCCACGGTGTGATCTGCCGGGGAGATTTGAGCACCCTGACAACTCTGTCGGCACACAAGCTCCCTAAGATCACTGTCCACCTTTCATATCCTTAGCTTCTAATCTTCCTTCACGGGAAAATTCCAACATTACCCTTAATTCCTTCAAGAAATGCACCTGTTGATAACAATCTGACATTATGGAACATCACCAGTCTCAAGAAATCGTGCTCCAGACTAAACATTAGTGATTTCAATGTATGCATCCTTTGTCGAATCGGTTGGCAAGATTCAATAACCAAAACTGAAGCAAATCGGATCATGACAGTATGCTGTTGTGATACGTATACAGGACCCGTTATCGTAGTACACTCAAGAACCATGCGTACATACGTGCCACAAGCAATGAGTTACACCTATTGTATATAGGCGAAGAAAACTACAAGCCTACACAAACACCGTGGTGGAGTGGGGCTGAAAGACGTGATCCATTGGTCGAAACTAAATTCTCTAAACCAATGGACTACAGCTCCACATACAGAGCCGAAGTGTGATTATTCACGTAACCTCAGTCTATCAATGCGGTGCATCTGAGAAATTCACCCTTCAATTCACTCGAAATCCGACAGCAAATTCAAACCATGTGGCAGATGTAGGTAGAGCATTAAGTACTGAGGCAGAAATTCCACTGCTCGACTGCACCCCAGCTGACAGTTACCTATGCGCCGTCCAAAAGATCAGTGCGGTGACGAATAAAAGGAATCGGGAAACGCACCATCGTCTCTTTGTAATCTGCGCCTATACATCCATTGACACTGCAGTTCGGATGAAGTGGAAGATGATTTCTATACAAAAATGTCTAGACTTCTACTGAAAGCCAAACGTGGTTGTTGTGGCATGTGATTTCAATGCACAAGTGGGTAGATTAAGTTAGGCAGAAAGGTAGTTGGGTGGCACTTTCGGAAGCCCAGATGAACACACGAATGGCAGAGATTGCCTGCTACAAATGTGCTCGGATAACAATTTACTTGTGATCATTACGAACCTCCGACATACAGAGATACTGTTTGACGTGACATCCACCGACCTCAACCAAGCGGTTGACAAAGATACACCATATATTTATTGATTTACTGTTTCAACCACAGGTGGCACAGGCACACATGAGGATGTCAAAGCCAGCATCGGAAAGACAGCAAGACAGGCTTTTATTAATCTGAAATCACTGTGGAGGTTTACTCCACTCAACTCAGCATAAAGAACAAGATCCGGATTTTCAACACCAACGTCAAGTCAGTGCTTCTATATGGTTCAGAAACTTGGCGTGTCACGAAAAGCATTTCCAGCAAACTACAGACATTCATCAACAGCTGCCAGCTATGCTTGATACTGAAGATCAGATGGCCAGAAAGAATAAGCAACAGGGAACTCTGGGAACGAACTAACCAAGAACTCATCACCCAACAAATATGCAGAAGAAAGTGGACATGGGTTAGAATGGTCACACACTGAGAAGACAAATTGGGGATATCACACGCCAGGCCAGTTGCTAGAGTGGAATGCAAAGGGGAAACAACGAGTTGGGCGTCCGAGGGTGACATGGAGATCATGTGAGGAAGAAATGAAAGCTTCTGGGCAGTGGTGGAGCGAGGTTTAAAAGACTGCAGAGAAGAGAGTGCAGTGGATGCGTGCTACTGAAGCCCTATGTTTCACTAGGAACCCAAAGGAGAAATTATACTAATCATATACCCTTAAACCTTTTTTGTGAATTAGTATCGTTTCTTCTCTCATCACGTCGTAACACATTGTTTACGTTGTATTTACGTTTCTTGATTATCGCTCATCCTATGTACTTAGCTTCTTATATAACTGATATTGTATATTTATTTTAGTTGAAAACACCATCACTTCAATTTTTTAACAGTCTTGAATCGTGTATCGAAACATGACATCATGCTATGAAATCATTAATTGTTGATTCTTGTCTTGCAGAGATCTGAACTATCCGAATTGGTAGAAATTGAATATCGGAGAGCTACCATCATTCAATTTATAGCAGTATTTTCGACCAATCCTTATGTTACTGAAGACTTCAAATACCTTTATTTGTCAAGTGTTGTCTCTGATTTTCGACAAACCAAGTGTACTTCTCTTATTGTAATGGTTTCGTTGCATTTTTGCTGTATGTTGATATACTTTGAAGTCTAGCAAGCTGCACCACAAAAGTGCTATAAGGTATCTCATTTGCTTTTGTAGTGAGTGAATTACACCATTGGTTGATGCAGTTTTCATTCTTGTCAGAGCTAACTTATCACAGTGGATGATTGTAATCAGATCCTAAATATCATTTTTCTAACAGGGATACTCACCGTTAGATTTATATAGCAATCTCTGTTTTTATTTATTTATCGAATTCACAGGTTGGAACAGAAACTATAATAGATAAATCAAAGTCCACCAAGACTGTGCTAATGGAGTTATTTAAAACTGCTGGCAATTTTGATGTCGAAGGAGTAGATGTGAAAAATGCTTGCTTCGGTGGTACATCTGCCTTATTCAGTGCACTTAACTGGCTGGAATCTAGTAACTGCAATGGTAAGCTTAAAAATAATGAATAAGAACTTCCGAGATTTCTAATAATCCTTCTTTTTTAAAACTAGTTTTGTATAGTTTCGTGGAACAGAACTGTGTTACTCAGAATTCCATCGTTTCAGATCTCTTTAATGTAGTAGAGCCAAGAGCAGGTTTATTTACTAATAAGGCGAAAGCTTATATTGCTACCCGATTGGTTGCTCAGGCTGAAGTAAGCAGGCAGTTTAGATTTGTGACTTTTGGCGTGAAAATAGAGTTCGTAAGCTAATAAGGCCACTTCTGCCGTACCACCGTCTACCTCGACGTACCATGCTACGGGAAGCTAGATTAAATTGGGTGGCCAGACGAAGACGTTGGCGCCAGTCAGTGAAGTCTTACTGTTGGTCTGGACCACGTGGGTAGATGTAGACTGCCTGGTTGGGTTCCCCGACGCGAGAGGAATCGGTGGTTGAGGAATGTTAGTGACATGGCTGGAAGTCGATCACAGTGGCGCAGATGTATTCACTCCTTGACGTCTAAAACTTGAATATGCGAACTCACCTCTATCTTCAAACTGTTTATTCTCTCACAGTACTTTATCTACTTTAATATCATTCTATCCATCCGTTCTTTGTGTAGTACTGTAAAGTGTGGCAACTTTAGCCGAGGGACCTGTGTACGAGGTTCGACGTTGATTTTGCGAGTTGTCAGTCAATCAGTCAGACATAAGATTCTATTGTTTTTATATGTTTTCGATTTGGGGTTTTCATTGAAGGTTTAGCTCATCGAAACTAATGGTTTTTCTTTCAAAATTCCATTTCAGTATCTTTGTCGAATTTGACAATTGTAGCGCTATTTAACCAAACGTGTACTCCATTTTATTCCACACCTTGTAATTTCCCGTTGCTATATTGGCAGGTACCATATATCCAAGAAAAGTTACCACTAGTCGGGAGTTTGAATTTTTTAACTGATGTGATGCAAAACTTCGCTGGAACTTGCTAGATGGAACTAAATAAGATATTTCATTCTATTACGTCCAGTTTTTTCAGTGGAAATCTGTACGCATTAAATTACCTTAAAGATTGTTATAAACTTGATTTACGGTCATACCATGTAAATAGATGATCATCTGTAAGTGAGAATATTTTCTTAGTTCATCATGTTTTTTATTTATTTGCTATAATCTAACCTTTCGTTGTTACCATATCCACTATGCTTTTCTGGTCTTCTTTTTTTTAATGATTGTTATTAAAGGTCGTCTAGCGTTAGTTGTCGCCGCCGACATTGCAGTTTACGGTAGTAAAGCAGCTCGTCCTACTGGTGGTGCTGGTGCTGTAGCACTCCTGCTTGGACCAAATGCTCCCCTAGTAGTCGATCCTGGTAAGACTTTAATTTAAAAAATTCTATGATTCAATCACACTACTACTAATTTAGTTATAATTTATAATTCTGGCTGTTTGTAAAAATCCTCCAGTAAACTAAAGTTTCTTTTTTGTCAGCAATTAACTGAAGTAAAAGGGTGCTTTGAAATCTTATTTTATTATTTATTTACCTTATAATACGCCACATGAAGTAACACAGAAGGACTGAGAAAACTTGGAAGTGATATTAAAAGCCGGAAAAAATGTTAGCATAGGTAGAAATGGATTACAGAAAATGTAGTTTCAAGCATGATACATTAGAATATCTATCACAAGACAAGTACACTGCGCTGGAGTCCGTTCTGTCCTGTTGAACAACTGTGAGATAAGTCAGTAAAGGTAGAAGACATGAAGTGATTGCAGGGTTTTGATCATAGATGTCTTCGTGGCATTGCTGGCACTTGGTGGAATCATCGTGTGAGCAATGTTGAGGTCAGGTGAATGATACTAGGTAAGACAGGCAAGTCGATTAATGAGGCTGTGAACTTTAGTTGACTGAGATGGCTTGGATATGTACTGCGCATGTGGAGCGAGGCACCACCTACCTCGACGTGGTATGCTAGGAGAAGGTGGATTAACACATTGACTGACCACTAGAGAGAAACCAATTGCATGTTGTGTTGTAGTCCTGAGTGTAGGCCGAATTTTGTCGATCATTTTGTAATATGACCACCAGGCTAGCAGGTTTACCACTGAAGTTGGCTTAAGTTGGAAGAAGATTTAGGATGACCAGACCAAGATCTGGCACCAGTTGATGAAGTCTTTCTGTTGATCTGAGTCGTGTGTGTGGTTGTGTTCTCTTAAGACGACAGGAATCAGTGGTTGAGGACTGTTGGTAACATGGTTTGGAAATCGGTGATAATGGGGTAGATATGTTCATTCCTTGGCGTCTTCTAAAGCTTCTATATTTTCACATACGTTATCTTCAAATTGTTTGTTCTCTCACGCTACTTTATGTCCTTTGATATTACTTTTCTATCTACTTATTCTATGTGTCTTACCACAGTGAAGTGTGGCAACTTTTACCATGATGCACCAGTGTTCGAGGTCCTACGTTGATCTTATGAGTTGTCAGTCAATCAGTCAGCCAGCCAGTCCAAAGCATATATTAAAAATACAGTTCACTGCTTTCATTTAGCTTTTCCATAATAGAGAAAAAAACGAAGCTATAGCATGATTCAGCTGTTTTCGCAGTCAAATTACGAGGATAAACCAGAAATGTAATTATCACTTCCTATTGACACCGTTACACAATATCTACATGGGGCACTGAATCGAGACAACTCATTTTGGCGTACTCAGACAAACGTATTTACAATTAATTGTTCTAGTTTATACTTAGATAACTGATAAAGCTATGATACCGCTTGTTTTCACATGTATCGAAGTATTGGTGATAATTTTAGCCAATCAGACAGATACATCTCTTTCATTTATGCCTCAGATGCGTATGTAGTAAGTAGTCACCGGAATCTCTGTCAAAACCAAAGGTTAGGCGTATCAGCTCACTGTTAAGGTCACCATTGCTTCCGACTTTTAGCCATATCTACTGTCGTCTGAAACCACTAAGTAGACTAACTTCTCGGACACCATCCAGATTGAGCAATGAAGAGTCGCTTGTGGCAAGATCAGTCAACTTTACGGTAGTTTTTAGAAAATGTGAAGCTATAAGTGAACCCCTATTGCTGGACACCTGACTAACCAACCAAATATCCTCCTAACCTTGTTGTAGCTATGCAGGTGAATACAACCTTCTCTAGGTACCTAAAATTTCTCAAGGATTTACTTGCTACCCCGGTGTACCTAGTTGAATTAGAGTACGCAGATGACATTCCTCTTAAGTGGAGTAGCCTGCAAAACACAGGGTCTTTTGAATGCATTGGCGTGCATTTTGTACCTGTCAGATGTAAAATGATGCTGTGTGATTGGTCTGGATTCACTCATTTGAGTGGAGAGTGAAATTGTGGACCGTGTTGACCCCGTCATCTGTTCTGGTTGTGGCGTAAACCTTAACAGATTGACTGATAACGTAATTAGGGTATGAGTACGAAAGATCCATTTAGCTTCTAGCACTCTTGACCGTCTCTGTTACCAGCGAAATGTTCGAATACCTAACAGTGGATGAATGCATTCCTCATCAGTTTGTTCCATCTTCATCTATGGCTGTGAGACATGGTCACTGATCTTAGGTTTCCCATCAAAAGTTTCTCCATTTCATTAATCGTCTGCTGTAATACACCGATGAGTGTTAATGAGTTGTCAAGTGTTCACTAAGATCCAGTGTTTACTGACAGGACGTTCTTCAAAGCCGTAAGCAGCTTTACTCATCATCTTCACGACATCTTGCAAATGCAGTCAATGTTCATCTATATTTCTTAGAAGTTTAACTACTAGTCTTGAATCTAGTTCTGTTTGGTATTTAGCTGTCCATACTTTAGGCAGCCATTTCCTTTACATCAGCTTTTTCGGACGACCGTTTTGATGACAACTAGAACTTTTGATGGACTTAGTAAACACTAAAGCGTGATTGGAGTTCATACAGGTGCCCTATAAGTGATGGAAATCCTAAACACGTCTCTTGCGTAGGTAAATAATTGCAATGTAATCTATTAGAATGCAGGCATAAGCGTCAGAGAGAAGACGCTAGGTAGCACAACGGTGATGGTTGTACCGGAAGTTGGTGCTGGCCAGAAATAGGTTGTAGTCTGCACGTAGCTCACAAAAACATTCTCTGCTATTCGACTGGTGACCTACCAGTTCTTATTAACCACCTAAGCAACTGTCATGTGACTCTAAATGGCTGACCTTTTCATTTGAGTCCCCAGATAGCACTTGTATGTTCGTTGGGCGTACTCGGTAGAAAAGGTCACTCAATTGATGGTATAAGTCATCTTTATCTGCATCGACGATATCGTCTTACTGTGCGATAACACGCAGGCTGCTCAAGTCGCACTTAGTCAGTCGGTCATTAGTGTCCGTAAGTATGGTATGCCCCGACTGATAGCTGCTACCTTGACATGGTAGTCGGGCTTGTATATCACAATGACCCAACGAGCTATGCTGGTGGAACACTTGTTCCCTCGAGGTCCTACCATACGAGGAAGGTCTATTGGATATTGGTTAGACCAAAAGCAGTTACCATTGTGATGTAAATTACTACACTATGATAAGGGTCTGAGGGAGAAGTCGTACTGCTGCTAGCTGGATGGGGTGTGACAGCAGTAAGGTGTTTCCCTTCGATGACCAGCTGTGCCATGCTGATGCTGACTTCTCAGTGGAGGGGAGGGGAGGGGGTTGGAAAAAGTCGACCCCCAAAATTACACACTCCACCATGCTCGACGGTCTGCCGGGCCGGCGGTTTTGGTTCATTTGTCGTTTCTTTTCGACCATCCGGCCCCAAAAATACAAAGGTTCAACATGATCATACACAGAAGGCTGCATGTGACAGGCCTCAAACAGATGTCTGATGGGCTCTGCGGTCGCACAAATCTCTTTCAGCTACATTAAGAAGAAATAGCCTTCCACGGTGTGGGCAGACGGGAAGTGTCAACCGCCCTCACAACTCTGTCAGCACTCAAGTTTCCTTGGACTGCTATCTACGTCTCCCCCCCCATTACCTTCTAATCTTTTCACGTCTGTCAACTAACGATACTATAACATCTTCAATTTCTCGTATCTCTGTAGCCTTCGACAACGATCTGAGTCCACAAAGCAGCATCCTTAGTCTCCTAAACCACTCTCCAAATTACATATTGGAGCCTTCAATGTCCACACCCTCTATCAAACTAGTCAACAAGCTTCGTTGGTAAAGACTCTAGCAAGTCGAGCCATGGATGTGTGCTGTGTTTGTGAGACACACATACAGGACGCAGGTGCGGTTATTCACCTGACCTCTCCCGGCCAATCTGGTGAATCCGCGAAATTCACCCTTCGATTTTCTGGGGATCCGATAGCTAACTCTCACGGTCTTGCAGGTGTAGGGGTAGCATTAAGCACTAGGGCAGAAAACTCACTACTAGACTGGATCCCAGTTGATAGTCGCCTCTGCGCTATGCTGGTGAACGGCACGGTGAGAACTGAAAGGACCAGTGGAACTCGCCGTTGTCTCTTTGTAATCTCTGATTACGCACCCACTGACTGTAGTTTAGACGAAGTGAAGGAAGAGTTCTACTGTAAACTGTTTAGCCTCCTCTCGAAAGCCAAACATTTGGACGTGATGGTTGTTGCAGGTGATTTCAACGCACAGGTCGGTAGACTGAATGAGGCAAAAAGGCGCTTAGGTGGCACTTTCGGAATCCCGGCTGAAGAAACAGATTACGGTGATTGCCTATTACAACTATGCTCAGATAACCGCCTATTTTTAGCCAGCACAAATTTCAGACATAAAAAGAGACACTGTCTAACCTGGTGTCAACGATGGACACAGATGGACCACATTGCTATTAGTCATCGCTGGAGAGGATCGGTGGAATACTACCGCTCCTTCTGGAGTACGTGTTTGGATAGCGATCATGCGTTGGTCCGAGCGCGTATATGCCTGCATCTCAACGGACGTAAGAAAAATTTAGCAACAAAACCACTACGAGTGCTGCTGGACAACAGGAACACCAAAGCCGTTTTCAGTGAGAAGTTGGCTAGGCAGTTATCACAATAGAAGACTGTCACTCATCCAAAAGAAGCTTGGTACCATCTACAGTCTCTTGTAAAAGCAGCGCTGAAGACCGTAGCCGACTCCAAAATAGTGGCTAGAAAGAGCCAGTGGATATCAGCAGCTTCCTCCGAACTAATGGATTCACGTGAACGCATCCCTGCAGGTTCTGAGTACAATGAAGAGCGAGCGCAACTAATGAAAGGTCTACGCAACGATCACGAACAGTGGAGGTCAGCGAAGGTTAAAGAGATGGGATGGGCAGAGGCGATTGGTTACAGTAGACAGTTATTTAGACTTATTAAGGAGAT